TGCCATCGAGTCAAGCACAACTCATAGCTACCCTATAAACAAAAGATCTGAACATTGTTCTATAACTATCATCTTTTCCCCAATGTTCATAGTTTCCAAAGGCATATTGTTTATAAATACCTGAGTTATAATTTTTCAAAATATTACAAAATAACTAAATTTTTCAAAATATTGTAAAAAAGTTCACCTTAGGAGTCCATTTAATAACAAACTTGTATATTGAAGGTCATGTTCAATTTGTGAGAAAGGTATTTTAAGCTTTCTAAACACATCTATGATTTTCTTCTCAGCTGAACTATATAGAAATAGTTCATTTCAAACATTAAAAATAATTCAAGAAATGTTTCAAAAATATCCATATTCATAATTGTTTTGTACATTAATTCATTCAACACAAGTAGAAACAATTTGACACCTTATAAATTCAATTGAAATTTCCTTGGATTTCCTGATTAAGACATAACAACCGCATTTAAAAAGAAAATTAAATACCATGTCAAAAGTGTATGTTTTTCTTGAGCTTTTGTCGGCCAATCCTGCAGTTCGTACACTAATTTCTTTTCGTACATTATCACAGTCTACTACAGAATGGGCGTTAGCTTTCCGCTCAGCCAAATTAAAGGGTCTATAAAAAGAAAGAAACAAAGTTATTCAAGAACTCTTAATGACCACCTATCAGTCACATTTTCATTAACTATGTTAAGAGTTCTGATTATTTTACACCATTGGGGATAAGGATTAAATGAACACTGTTTCAGAAAGCAGTAGAATTATTAAGGATTCCAATCACCAAAATAGTAAATTAGTAGTTTGTTTTTCATTTTCAAATGTATACAAAATATTACAATTTTGACAGTTTCTTAGAGTAGATACTATTTTCAGAATTATCTTTCCACTCTTCTTACAACCTGATTCAGTTACAGTGTGCTGCTGCAGAAAGAGCATCTAGATTTGTTCTAAATCAATTTGGCTGCATGTACCTGGCACAGAATAAAAATAATTAGTAAGCTAAATTATGAACCTAAGCAGATTGGTAGAGTCCTTACACCTTTGAAATAATAAGTATGCACTTAGTTTAAAAAATCGTATCTTTAGGGAGTTTAAGAAATTATATCTTTAGGGAATCTTATCATCCATATCTCTTCCCAATCCAACCTGTCCCAAACAAAACAACATTTCCCCCTGTATGTTCCTTCAGTATTCTTTATACATTCTCCTAAACATTATTTCACTTGTAAGACAGGGAAACGTTCAACTCAGCTGTTCATGAGGTCTCTATGAGTTGCACTCAACTTGACCGCACCTAACAACCACCACCACCACCATATATATAAGGAGCCCTGAAGCACAATGGTTAAGAAGTCAGCTGGTAGTTGAAAACGCAGTGGTTTGAACCTACCAGCCATTCAGCAGGAGAACAGATCTAGCAATGTGCTTCCATAAAGACTAGTGTAGGAAACTCTATGGAGAAGTTCTACCTTATCATACAGGGTCACCATGAATGGAAATTGACTCCATAGCACACAACAACAAAAACATTATCTAGGAACCCAGCTGGCTCCACTGCTAACCAAAACGCTGACAATCTGAAATCACTCAATAACACAACAGAAAAAAGCTTTGGCCATCTGTATCTGTAAAAGACTTGTTACGTTTCATCAAGTAGGAATCAACCTACAGCAGAATCCCAGTGAGTCAATTCTGACTCAACAGAATCTAACACAATATGCAGCCACATAGAGTTACTCTCAGTCAAAACCAACTTGATGTACCTAACAATAACCACATATCCAGGTACAGTTTCATTCTTGACCTGACTTTAGGTTTTAGGGAGTGCTGATGGCCTAGGACTACACTGGCAACCCAAAAGTACACTGTTTGAATCCACCACTTGGTTGGTTCTTAGGAGAAAGATGGGCAGTCTCCGCCTGTGCAACTGCCTGCCTCTGAAAACCCGCTGGACCATCGGCTATGAGTCAGTTCCAACTTGATGGTACACAACAACAAGAAGTATCTCGAAGAGGTCTGGCGGTATAGTCTATACACAGTCGTGCAGCTAACCCAAATTCTGTGCATCTGCAGCTTGAATCCACCAGGGGGCTTCACAGAAGAAAGTGAGCAGTCTCCCATTGAGAGTCACAGTCATAGAAGCTTGATGGAGGAATGTAGAAGCCAGAACCAACTCGGACTCTAAGTGCTAAACGTGACATAATTGAGAAGAAATGTCACATAAGAAATTATCTTTAATTTCTAGATAAGCCAAGATACAATTTCTTGTAGAAGGAAACCTCAACTTTGCCTAGCATGTCCCTCTCCCCAGCATGTTTTTTAATGACTAGAAAACCAAATTTCTAATACTGGAACATTTACCTCAGCAGTATCCAGAAAATACCTGGTAATGCTGTTAATTGCTTAAACTTACCCAATGCATCTAACCCATATGAATTTGCAATATTATTAAAAGGTTTTTTTTTAAGAATCAGAACAAAACAAAAAAAAGAATCAGAACCGAATTTTACTTGGATAAACCAGCGGCAGGATATATTGCTCTAATGTGGCCAAAGCTTTTCTAATTTATTTATTAATCATTATCTTTACCCTGATTTTCTTCCCATGAAGTGATGAAATCACCTATTCAATACCATTCAACAATGATGCTGAGATAACTGGATAGAATGGGAAATCTTACAGATTTTACAGACCACACATCACCGCTCTGAGAGGACTGTATGTGCTGGTAAGAGAGTACTGCCGCCCCACTCTCTTCAACCCTGACCTATAATTAAAAGTTGTTAAGTTTCTTTCTGCTGATCACTCTAATTTTTAATACCCAATTTTTATATAAAAAATAATTATAAGGTGTGACAAACAGGGGGAAAAAACCCACAAACCTTGGAAAGGAATACATTAGAAAGACTCAGAAAGAGCCTTGATGGTGCAGGACTTAAGCTCTCAGCTGCTAACCAAAAGACTGGTGGTTCAAACACATCAACTGCTGTATCCATAAAGATATGCAACCTTACAGCTCCGGTAGTCCTACATGGCAGTTCTGCTCTGTCCTACACACTGGACTTAAATATACACAGTGGAAATTGTGATGATGGCACAGGACAGCACATAGTTTTGAGCCACTGAACATAAGGTTGCTATGAGTCAGAATAGATTAGAAAGCACCTAACAAAAACAACTCTGTCCTATAAACTGGACATGAATTGGAATCAATTCAACAGCAATAGATTTGATGGTTGTGGTCGTTTAAGAAAGTTCACACCTTCCAATTTTAAAACACACTATAAAGCTAGAGTAATCAAAAAAGTCTGATACTGGTAAAACTTTGAAGACATAAACAAATTTTGAGTCCACAAATAAAACTGATTTTAAATAGAGGCAAATCCATTCAATGAGAAAATAGTTTCTTCAACAAATAGTACTGAGATAACTGGATCTGCACATTGCGATAATAAACTCACATTAAATACAGAATCAAACTCAATGTAGATTAATAATCTAAATGTATTAACTAACGATATGGAATAAAGCTTTGCGATCTAGTTCAACAATAGATTCTTAGATGGAAAAAAAAACAACCAACCAAAAAAAAAAACCCTCCAAACAGCACTAGCAACAAAAGACTAAAAATAGAAAATTTAGATTTCATCAAAATAAAAAACTTCTGTACATAAAAGGACCTTATTTAAAAAAATTAAAGTTTGGGAGAACATTTCTGGAATTCTACATCTGGCATAGGATTTACTATTCAGAACATAAAAAGAATATATATAAGTGACTGAAAAGCAAACAAAAAGTCAAGCAAACTGTTTAGAAAATGGGATAAGGACTTACACATTGCTCCAAAGATACACAAATAATACACATACGAGAAGCTACTCAACTTCATTAATCATTAGAAAATCAAAGCCACCAAAAAAGCCTGTGTTAATAACCCAATTAATTAAGTCAATTCCAGCTCACAGTGTCCCTCCAGAACACAGTATTGGACAGAACTGTCCAATAGGGTCGCCAAGATTATAAATCTTTGCAAAAAGTCTCACATTTCCCGCATAGCAGCTGGTGGCTTTGACCTTGACATTTCAGTTAGCAGTCAAGCACTTAACCATTGCACCACCAGAGTTCATCTGTTAACAATAACCAACATAATGTTCATTCCGAAACTTCACTTCAAGGGGAGCTCTGGTGGCCTAGTGGCAAGAAGCTGCACTGCAATCCCAGAGGAACGCGGTTCGAATCCACCAGATGCTGGCTCTGCCGGAGAAGGAGGCGCAATATCCTCCTGTACCAGTCAGATCTGATTTGACGGTACACGCACACAAAATAATAATAAAAAAAAAAAAACAACTTCACTTCATCATTTCCACTTCACCATTCGGGTACCAGTCCCCCCACATGGCACTCTCTCTGACCTCCTATCCTAGAGTTGGATCGCCACAAATGAGGACTCTATTGTTGTAGCCTCTGCCAAATAAGCAAATGCCAGTCTATATGCTGGCTCTCACCACCCTGGTGGGTTCAGGACTCACTGACACTACTATTATCCATTTATTACAATAACCATAAAGGACACAAGCAAATGGACATATCAAGCAAGGTTCAGGAGATGTCCTGAAAGCACAAGACACCCACTGTCACCAAGGACTTGTCTGGGAATGATGTGTCTGGAGATGAATAAGGGCAAAGAAGGTGTGGAAGTACCTTGGTGGCACCAGAGCAGCAACAAGGGACTCAAACATGCTGACAAGTGTAAAGATGGCACAGGACCAAGACATTCTGAACATAAGGAGTCTACCACAACGAACAACAGCAAAATATTTCCCTCTAGTGATAAGGTAAATCTCTTCAGAAATAAGGCATGAAATAAAAATCAAACTGAATCCATGCTGTCAACTTCAACTTGGTGTCCCTATAAGACAGAGAACTGTCCTATATGGTTTCAAAGGCTGTGGCTCTATGGAAGCAGACTGTCACATCTTTCCCTGGACAAGTGACTGTTGTTTACCATCAAGTCGAAACTGACCCATAGCTGACCCTCTGGTGGTTATCAGAGGCAGTTAATCGCAGGGGAGGAGAATGTCCATCTTTCTTCCACAGAGCAGCTGTTGGGCGGTTTAGGACTGCATGCCAGAGCTCCCTGGACAAGTGACTGTAAGTCTAAACAGCAGATCTTTAATTAGCAGCTAGACAACTAAACTGCTATACCAACAAGGCTCCCTTAAGGGTATAATAACATGTCCACTCAGGGTGGAGGGAGAAGGCTAAGAAGGGGTACACAGAGGCTCTAACTCTGATGATCTGGGAAGGGTACACAGGGGCTCAGACTGAGAAGAACAATCATTTAGTTTCTTAATCTCGATAGTAGACATGTGAGATATATAAATGTTACACTGTTCTTTTCAACTCTTTATAGATAAGAAATATTTTTAACAATAAAAAAAGAATTAAAATAAAATTACAGACCAGAAAAATGCCTAGCTTTTTAAATAATGAAAATAATCTAAAAATACTAATTTGTAACATAGGATGTTGAAGGGGGTGGGAGGAAAAAATCCCAAACAATTCTTCAAAATAAGTAACAACAACAGCCTCGGAGTGACACAGTAAGTGTAACTGACAAGACCTAATATTCTTCCAACCCTAGTTAAAAACCTAGCTAGTACTTTGATACATAAAATTCCTTAAACGGTAAGCCTATAATAGCTATGAAAGTTTGTTGATACTGTTTTTCATAACAATTTCCCCCAAAACTCTTTTAGAATTACTGAAAAGTTGTACAGATATTTGTTGGTAATGCTTAAAACAAAACAAAAAAACCAAAACCCACCAAACCCCTACACATGGAATAAAAATAAGTCAGAAGCCAAATTGATTTCATTTTATGTAGCACTCATTCCATTTTATTAACCAAACCCTGTGTGTGGGAAATTTCTGCCCCGGCACTAAATTTTAGTCTTGACCCGTTTCCCAAAATAGTAGTCACTGTTGTTTATGTAAACGTTTTGCACTATATATGTGACAAACCCAAAATGTAGACGTTCTGCACTGTGAACTCATGACTACCTCGCCGTACCCTTAGTAATATGTCAACAGAAAGATATCATAGCCTGGGCCCACGTAGCCCAGCATCTAGAGGAGTAAGGTTATAAAAACTGGGGAATCCTGCCGTGTTGCTGGCACCACCGCTGCGCAGCAAATAAATGCCCTCACTTATAATCTGCTGGTGTGTGTCTCTTGATCTGCTGGGCACAGCATTTCTAAACAACTTCATAAGTCAATCTTTTTTCTAGCAGCAATATCTGCAAATATGTTATTACTAGCTCGTTTTAAGATTAAGCAGTTGTTTGGAAACCTCTGGGTAGAGTTGAACCCACACCAAACACTCACTCCCTGAAAAGCTGTGTGGGTTCCTTCTGATTGTCAGAATCTACCAGCCAATGAATGGGAAACTGATGCCTATATTGGTTTCCAGGGTTTCCTTGGCCTTTTGATCTAATTTTTAAAACAGTATTGTTTATAAACGACAAAGAAAATATTTATGATAGATAAAAAGCAAATGATTACGTTTTTAAAGTTAACATCAAGGTAAGTGCTCAAACACAGAGTGTGCAGATTGGCACAGGATAGAACGGCGTTTTTAGGGCTCTTGTACACAGGGTCGCTATGAGTCGCAAGCGACTCAATGGCACATAATACAGGACGCAGCATACAAAATGAAATTTATTTCTTTCTCGACGTAAGGGAAGACATCACAAGAATGCACTTTTCAAATCCAAAGTCTCTGTAAACTGTCATTAAAATCAATTTTTTTTTTAAAAGAATGCACTTTTCACTAAAGAACGAAGGTCAAATGCACTTTCGGTGTATCACTTTAAATATACTCCAATACAAATATCCGTGGAACACAGACTTTCCTCATGACTGCAACGCAGTATGGTTTTTACTAAGCAGAACTTCGAATCCACCAGGTGCTCCTCAGGAGAAAGACCAGCAATCTGCTTGTTAACAGTCGCTGGCGAGTCAGCTGTGGATCGGTTCCGACTCAAGGGTACACAACAACAACAGAACAGGAAGAACTTCATTGACAAAGGTCTGGTCTCCTCGGAGAATGCCAGCTAACCTCTCTCCCCAGAAGAGCGCAAGGGAGAAGCCAGAGGCCAAGCCCGGGCGCTCCCAATGCTGCCACCCTCGCCCTTACCTGCATCTGACCACCACCTGGATGTTCTTCCCTTTTTCATCTTTCTTCTTCGCGGCGGAATTCGGCTGCGACGCCATGACTGTCTTGCTTGGAAAGCAAGCAGTGGACTCGGGCGCTGCAAGGCACGGGCACGGACCCAGGCGACCACCCCCCCGGAGGGCTGCTGTAGACGCAGAGGAGCGACGCACGCGGCTCAGGGGCTTCTGCTGTCCGCTCGGAGATCGGACGGGCCTCGGCGTCGGCCTCCCAACAGCCACAGCACCAACAAGAATCTCTCCGCTGCCAATCAAGCAACGACTCCGCGCCTCAATTTGAAAAAGGAACCGGACAACCGAGCCAATGGCAGCGCGGGCGCGCAAGGCACCATGGGACGCCGCGTCCTCCCCTGCCCTCGGCGTCCGCCCGCGGGGCGTGGTCACGAGCTCCGCCCTGGCTCCCTAGGAGCTCCAGGTGCCTTAGGGGAGTCCATTAGGGGTCCTGAGTTTAACAACTAATTCAGCGTTCGGGTTGCAGCACAACCTGCTACGCTCATATTTTTCCTCCTCCATCTTTCAACTAGGTAAACTTTCTCAATTTGCATAATCTCTCTAAACCAAACTGTTTTCATCTGCAAAATGAAAATAACAGTAACCATCTCAGATGGTGTTGAGAATGGATCCACTGAGACGGTGCCTAAAACATCGCCAGTTTTACTAGAGACTTGTCCTAAGAGTAGGGAGCTCTGGGCTGCTCCAGTGCAAGGCGGAGGGTCGCTGCGGCGTTCGCGGCTGCTGCTTCCTCCGGCCATTTTGCTGAGGAGCCACCGGCAGGAGGAGACGCAGCGGAGACGCAGCGGAGACCCACCGGGAGCAGCGCGCGGGCACCGGGCTCTCCTGGGCCTCGGGAGGCGAAGGGATAGATCGCCGAGGTGGGGACCGCAGGAGCCGCGCCCCCTCCACCATGAGCTGGGGCACCGAGCTGTCCGATCAGTTTGACAACCTCGAAAAACACACCCAGTGGGGAATTGATATTCTTGAGAAATACATCAAATGTGTCAAGGGACGGAGAAAGATTGAACTCGGCTGTGCAGAGCAACTCAGGAATCTCTCAAAGAAATACCAACCTAAAAAGAAGTCGGAGGAGGAGAACGAATGAATACAAGCGTACGTCCTACAAAACGTTCCTTTCCCCACTGAATGAAATGCAGTGTTCCTTCCTCCCCTGAATTAAATGAACGATTACGCTGGGCAGCATGAAGTGATCTCCGAGAACATGACCCCCCTAGATCATTGTGCACTTAGCACGCTATGTCCTGGAACTGCAGCAAGAGAGGAAATCGCCTTTCCATGATGGACGCAAAGCACAGACAGCAGCACATAGAGACTTGCTGGAAGCAACTTGCATCAAGTAAAAAGCGATTTGAGCGAGATGGCAAAGAGGCTGACCAAACAGAACAGTATTTTGAGAAAATGGACGCTAACATAAACGTGACAAAAGCTGATATGGTAAAGGCGCTACAGCAAGCTCAAATACGTCACCAATGGTAGAAGACAGCAAAGTGGATTACTGTTCAACCATAAGCAGCATGAATATTACCGTACACATAAATTGGAGAATTCATGAAGACATGCAGAGGTTGAACTGCAGGTGATACCAATTGTAGGCATATGTTTGGATGGAATGGCAAAGGCACCTTATTCAATTGATCAGAAAAATGATTCACAGATGGTGATCAAAGCGTAAAAATCAGGGTTTGAGCCTCCTGAAGACATCGAATTTGAGGATTACACTCAGCCAGTGAAGCGTATGGGCCTATCCAGTTCCAGAGGAGAAGGCAAGTCAGAGCTCAAATTTGGTGGAAAATCTAAAGGCAAGTTACGGCCATTTATAAAACAAAATTAGCTTATGTCCCTTTTAACATCAGCCTCCCCCACCTCCCCTTTCCTGCCTCTGCCTCACCCTCTGCTGTTCCCAACGGCCCCCCAATCTCCCAAACAGCAAAAAGAACCCCTCTCCCATCCCTTCAACTATTTCATGACTCCAAACCCAAAATCTACTGCTTCAGGAGTCTAAAGCGTGGGGGTTAATGGCTACTATACTGGAGAATGCAGACAGAAAACATTTCCATCACTGCCCAAAGGTCTACTGAACTTTTAGCCAATTGGCAATAGAGGAAATCTGAGAAAGCTTCTAATCCCGCCACACCCAACAGGACAGAAGCCAAAACAGTGTTTGGTATCAGAACTCCAAGCCTCGCTCCGAGCTCTACCCGCAGAATGAACGCACAGTGCACTGAATGGAATTACCATTGACTGTTCTCTGGGGTGTCTGACTTTTCTCAAGCAGTTTTGTTGCACATCTGCTTTAAAAAAATAAATTTAAAAAGTACCTCAGTCTTTATAATTCAGCATGAGAACAAATACATTTTTCCAAGTTCAATTACTGAATTGAGGAAAAGCATATAATTAAGATTTAATATATTTTAATACCCTAGTATATTAAAGAAAGAGAGCTCTGGTGGCCTAGTGGCAAGAAACTGAACTGCAATCCCAAAGTCACTAGGTTTGAATCCACCAGCTGCTCGGCAGAAGGAAGAGCAATCTCCTCCCATAGATTAATAGCCTCTGAAAACCTGCTGGAGGGTCGGCTGTGGATCGGTTCTGACTTGAGGGTATACAACAATAACAGTGTGTGACAGGGAACTCTGATAACCCTGTTGTAAGGAGCTGCACTGCCATCCCAAAGGCAGGCACTTTGAATCCACCAGCTCCTCCAGGGGGAAGGAAGAGCATTCTCCTCCCATTAGATTAGCAGCCTCTGAAAACCTGCTGCCGGGTTGGCATTGAGTCAGTGCTGACTGAACAGCACAAAACAACAACAATAAATGGAAGGAGCTCTGGGAGCAAAGTCTGAAAACCCATCAGCGGGCCTTTTTTGAGTCCGCTCTGACTCAAGGGCAGTAAGTGTAACACAGAATGGAAGTATATAGGAGAGAGGCCCAAACCCGCAGAGCAGAAAGAAAAAATCCAACCTTGCCATCTAGTGGCTCTGACTCTTAGCAACCCTGTTCTTCTTAAGTAGCATCGAGTCGAATACGACTCAGAGTGACCCTAGGAACAACAGATTTGAACCGCGCCCCATCCTGTGCCTTTCTCATCTCTGACACACATGAGGCCGTTTCTGCAGTCATTATGTCTATCCATCTCATTGAGAGTGGTCTCACTGACCCTCCAACTTTCCAAGCATGATGTCCCTTTCCAAAGATTAGCTTCTCCTAGTAACATGTCCCTAGTACCATGACCCCTTCTAAACCCAGCCTGGACTTCTGGCAGTTCTCTGCTGATGTGCTGTTCCAGTTAGTTGTTTTTGGATAATCTTCAGTAGAATCTTGCTTGCATGTGAAATCAATGAGATTGTTCTATAGTTTCCAAGTGGTTGTTCTCCAGATTTCTTGGCACAACTTGGCAAGCACGTCCAGGGCAGCATCTGTTA